TGGTAAAGACCTCTAATAGATATGTTTCAGTCATACTTCTAGTACAAAGTTTCGTGTCAAAATCTGTTTTCTATTGATTCTTTATCTCTAATCCCATTACGAAATGTGCCCTGAGTGGGAGGGAAATGACACGGGAGAAAGACTCTGACTTGGGTGCACATGGTAGCATATTTATGCCCTATGTATTCAGAGAGAAAAGGGAGAGAAGGAAGGAAGGAAGAAAGGAGGGAGGGAGGGACACATAGATTATAATCTCAGCTCTTGGGTAAATTATGAACACTTCTCTGAATGTTAATCTCTACATTTATAAAATGGGTACAATAATGGTCTTAATCACACAGCAATTTTTGGATAGCAAATGAACTCAAGAATGTGAAAGTGTTTTGTAAATTACAAACTCATATCCCTATGTAAGACATCCACTACCTGCTTTCATGTGCAATTTAGAGTATCTATTCTTTTACCTCTTGATATTTTCACTTCCTAAATACTACACATTTATTTGTAGAAACACTCTGTTTAAAGAAAAATAATGTGTTCCTTTCGGGCAAATGTTTCATCACATAGCTTCTCATTACTCACATGAAGTGCCAAGAACCTTGAGAGGGCAGGAAAAAACCATTTCTTTCTAGCTTCTCTGTAGCTCTCCTTTTGACAGCGCTCAAGTACGGACTGATTGGCTATAGAGCCACAGGGATTTAATAAAACAAAGAGTTCTACAGCAATACAGAATCCAGCTGCTTCTATCTCAAGGGAAGTACAAGACATGACCTTGGTTGATTGCTGGTAAGTATACTAGTTGCCTAGCAAAACTCAGAAGTCCAAGAAAAAAGGCATAATGCCTTTACTGATTTATATTTTGAAGCTTTTCTTGTCATAATGTGATGTGCTACAAATTGAATATTTTTACATAAAGCTTAGAATAGCATGGAATTTTCTACTACCATAGCTGCTGGCATGTACCAAAAAATCTTATCAATTCCTATATTTGTAATGATAACAAAATGTAATGTTACACAATATGTTAGTGCTTATAAAGCACTGAGTACATGGGATATTTTAAATTTGAAAGATGAGCTCATGATGAATGAGATTTAAATAATCATATTTTAAAAAATCACAATGTAAAACTAAATTTGGTTTCCTAATGCTACATAAATTTGATAGTCATCAAAAATCCTTCTTTACTCTAAGACAAGTAACCATTTTTATTTTTGAAAGTAGAAAAATATATTAAAGAAATAAGATTCATCAATAGTAACATTTCCAAAAGTTTATGTCCATAGATTCACATGTAGATAATACCACTGTAGAGAAGTACATACTTTAATCTAGATGAAAAAATAAATAAAACATTTTCTAAAACTTTGCGCATCAATTTTTGGACTAGAAAATAATCTGAAAAACATTTCTAGAAACAAGAAACCCTTTTAACTACCCCTCCTTCATTGGTTAACATGCTCAGATCTTTTATACAGTAAATATTCTAGGTAGAATCTTTGTCTTTTGAGTCTTTGTTGTATTTCTCCCACTTTTTCTCCCTCTCCCTAATGTGAATATGGTGAACTAAGCAGACTATTAAATGAAAAGGGCACTTTTTATTAAATCAATCATTCAATTATCTTTAAAAAATCACAAAAAAATCTCTGCCAGATTTCATTTAATACAAAGTTAAATCAGCAATTTAATAAACTAACCATTGGCAACTACCACTGATAATAAATGATGAGCTGAAACATTTTAATAACTTCTCAGTCATCATAAAATATGTCTATTTTCTTCAATGGGAAAAATAATTTCTGTTGGATATAACTCATAAAAAAGTCTTATTAGTGGGCTGAAGTATTGCTTAATTTAGCTGATCATGCTATTTCAATCTGCTGTTTGCATATATAAATGTAATCTGAATGATAGTTATCATTTTAGTTTAAATTTAAAATTTATTTGTTATGGGATGCATATAATAAACAAAAATAAAAATTAATAAATATGAAAATTCGTCCATCACTCTAATACCTCAACAAATCAAATCATTTTCAGTTTTTAGGACACTTTACTATTCTTTGCCCTTATGCATACATAGACTTTCCCTGACAGTGTAGGTAAAATTTTGTGTTCTGCTTTTCTTAACATTATCTCATAAGCATTTTATATATTGCCACAAAGTCTTCATAACTATCATGAAAATAAATTAATTGTAGAAGTTACCATAACTTAATGGATCATTTCCCCACTTAAACATGCTACCCTCCTCTTCCCCACTCCCAACCCCTGTTTTGGGCACTACCATCAACCAACAACATTTCCATTTATGCCGTTTTCCCTGTTGTTTTTGATGTTTCCCCCTTCAGATAAGTTCTCTGAAGTACAGGCTCATAAATATGAATATCATTACAGCTTTTATATTTCTAAAGTGTTTTCTAAATTTCACTGCCATTAATAGCAATGTATGTACCTATGATTTGTATTGTGACCTTCACCAGCACTTAGGTATTCGTATGTCTTTATTGGAGGGAGGAGCACTAATTTCATGGGGATGAAACTTTCTGTGATGAAACTAATGGAATCTCATTAGTATTGTTTTAATCTGCTTTAAAATATTTGCTAATCATATTTCCTATTATGTAGATTATTTTTGTGGTTCTGTGTCTTAGTATTTATCTCAAAAATTTACGTATGTTTTTTACATTCCATCTGGAAAATAACCCTATACCATATTAACTGTAAATATTTTTTTCCAATATAGATTGTTTTACATTTACTTTGGGCTTTGTTTTTTCTTTTTTTTTGGTAGCAGATAAATTTAATATTTTTATATTATTAAATATGTTAAGTATTTTGCAATTTTTTCTGGTACTTCAAAGCTCAGATAACAATCCTACCAAATGTCTGACAAATACAAAACTTCCCCCATGATTTGATTTAAAAAAAAAATATTTATCTATTCAATCCATCTGGAACGTATTTTGGAACATGTGAGATATGGATCTAAATTACTTCTTTTTCAAACTTGCTAATACCACAACCATTCATTAAATACTCCTCCCCTTTCCATTGTTCTATAATGCTCTGTTCTTGTTTATATTAAATTCTAATATATAACATGTTGAGATTTTCTGTACTTTCCTAGATCTACCACAGAACCAAAAAAGTTAAATTATATCATCTTCTGTGCTTTGATATCTGGAATGGCTTTTCAACATTTATGGCTTCTTTTAAAAAATATCCCTTTATTATCATCAGCTTATTTTTTCCAAACAAATTTTTATCATTCTATCACCTTCTAAGGAAATCCAGTTGAGCATTTTATTGAGATTATACCCTTATACTTATAAATTAATGTGGAAAGCTTTAATAGCTTAATCTTTATATCCAGAAACATAACGTGTCTCTTCACTAATTCAAGTTTTCTTTTATAACTCACAATAAATAACATTTTAAAGATATGTCTAATAATTAAGAATGAAATCATGGAAAAGGTGAAGATATTGGAGTGGGACGCATATATATATCTAGGCTCAAATCCTGTGTGATCTTGGGCAAGATGCTTAGCCTCTCTGAGTCTCAGTTATTTCCTCCGTAAACTGAAGGTAGTGGTAGTTCCAGGATTGCTGTAAAGAGTAGGGTTAACATATATAAAGCTATTGGAGCGTAGCATGTATCCAGTCAATGTTAACTATTATCATAATTTTTAATATAACCTGTGCCTAGTACTTGACATTTTATAAAAAGTTCTTTCACGTGTATTATCTCACTTGCTCTGTTTGATAGTCACGAAACCCTGTTAGGTGATAATGATGATGTTGTTATTATCACTATTAATATTAAGAACAAATAGGTAAACATATATCTTCTTTTGAATCAAATGCACAAACTCATTTCATATCATCATGATATAGGTAAAGGTATTTGAAGATAATTCACATCACACAATAACTTTATCCCTGAATATCTTATGATTTTCTTCTGCTATAATAATTGTTATTGCCCTTTCATTATATTTTCTATTAGTTTTGCTTGCTTAAAGGAATGCTGTTGATTTTAGTATATTTATTTCATGTTCAACAGTTTTATTGAGTTCCTTACTGCCTCTTAAAAATATGGTTAATTCTTCTGGTTTTCTGCGTTGTCACATTTCCAAAATAAATTCTATGTCATAGAATCATATATTAATAAGATCTGCCACTTAATTGAAAAATGGAAAAACTAAGACTATTTATCTATTGTGACATCGTGATATATTAAAATCGTCCTGTTGGAAACATAAATTCAAGAAGATTATGTAGCTATTACTAGTCGGTGCCCTTTAGCTTGTAGATTGTATTCCCTTAAGCTTTTTTCTCGTCAGTCCTTCAGACCTCACAATACCTTGCCTGACAGGAAGCGGCTGATGTTACAGTGTGGCAGAAAAAGGAATCAAAGAGAAAGCATACATCTTTTTTTTCTTTTTCTTTGCAGGCTTTAAATATTATCCTTGGGGATGAAAGAATTAAAGAGATGAGCACGGAAGAGGTATTAACTGCACGTACTTGCATACTTGGGAGAGTTTTGCTGCTTTTCCGTCTCTTCTTAATGCATGGCTGGCTAAGTTCTTTCTTATCATTACCTAGACCTTTCACTCCCAAATACAGCCCTCTTTTTTTTTTTTTTTTGCTCCCAGAATATCATTTCAGCTATACAAGGATAAATTTTTTTTGTGCCTGGACTTGTCTTTCCCCATCTACTCCTTGGAAAATTAACGATAATAAAATGTCATTTTTTCATTGAATCAGTTAGTTAACGTGATCAGATAATCCACTGCCAAAAGCAATCCAAATAAAAGAATCCACTGAGTTGCTTCAAAAATATTTCATTTTTACTTAATCATGTTTTGTTTTTAAATCAATTGTAAAAAAAAATAACATAACTAGCAATAAAGGTTTAAAAGAATGACCAAGATGATACAATTATTTTCACTATAGAACCAGGCCCTGAGCTCCAGCTATGGTTTCCGTACTCACGAGGAAAATGATTAGAAGTGGACGGATTGACACTGTCCCCGCTGTCCGCGCTTTCACTGCTGGAAACTTCATCATCTGATTCCCGCACAGAGGAGCAGGGTGAGGAGCCGTCAACTTCTTCAAACTTCCTCTTTAAAATTCCACTCATCGCTGCAGCGCTGTCACATGTACCTGTAACAGGAACGGGAGCAACGAAGCATTGAAATATTTGACCGCTGAGCGTGTAGCCAAGGTCTCCGGAGTCATTTTTTTTTTTTTTTTGTGAGGAAGATCAGCCCTGAGCTAACATCCGTGCTAATCCTCCTCTTTTTGCTGAGGAAGACCAGCTCTGAGCTAACAACTACTGCCAATCCACCTCCTTTTTTCTCCCCAAAGCCCCAGCAGATAGTTGCATGTCATAGCTGCACATCCTTCTAGTCGCTATATGTGGGACCTGGCCTCAGCATGGCTGGAGAAGCGGTGTCTCGGTGCGCGCCCGGATCCGAACCCGGGCCTCCAGCAGCGGAGCACGCGCACTTAACCGCTAAGCCACAGGGCCGGCCCCTCTGGAGTCATTTTTATGTGGCTTTTTATACATGAGCTGAGCTTTCCCTTGAAAGGATCACTAAGCAGTTTTTAAAAATATTTTCATATTAACAAAAATGAAATTGAATTAAATACGAGCATTTGACCATTTGGTTACCAAAATGTATCAATTTTTTTTAGACATAGTTCATTTTAATGTAATACCTCTAGTCTTTTTTGTTGGCAAATTGAGAAAATCCACCTGAGTCAGTGAAATTCTGTACCGAAAATAAGTGCCAATGTCCCCCAAAGTCCTAAATGATTACTGCCTTATATAAAATTAGTCTGGAAGAAACACAGATAAGTATGCAAAAACTTCAATATTCAAGTTTTAAAATGCAAGAAACCTAATTAGCTGACACAACGAAGCATATGAAATCAGTTTTAAATTTTAGGTAGTTTCCATTTCAATAATGCAATAAGACGAAATGCGTCCCTGTGATACCTGGTTGCTGACGACGTTGCCGCTCTGTTACAGAAACTTCCTAAGACTGGCTATTTACCTGGGAGATAGCACTAACTGAGTGAAGGATGAGGGGTGGGGAGTGGGCATGGTTTCTCCTAAATCCTTTCTCTAGAATGAATGGGCTTTCCCCTCTCCTTGGGCTGCCCTCTCTCCACCTTCCCCATTTACCTTGACATATGCACAGTCAGCTAAAGGGCATACACTTTCCTTGAGTGTAAGGATATTTTCAGGAATAAGCTATATATAAATTAGCTTAGATGTATGTACATGATCTTACATTGCCATATTAGGTTAACTTAGCTGGAAGTATTATTACTAAGTCAATTCCACACATTCTATCTTCCATCTCTTATGTCAGCTGATTTTAACTCTCATTTGAGTTCTTGAAGCCATTCTCGCCTTTTCCTGCCAGAATGTAGCCATCAGTCCTGTTGATCAGGAGAAAGCAAGACTCTTAAAACTATACTGATGTCCACTTAGTTACATTATCCATGTACTGCCCTCAGAAATCTCTGAAATCACCCCTTCTCTGTGCAGATCACAGGGCAAGAAGCCTGCCCAGATCCTCTTAGCTGGGCCAGCTCTCCAAGGTCTAATTCAGAAGTTTTCAATTAGAAGTTTTCAAAGTGGGCTACGTGGATTAGCAGCATCAGCATGACCTGGGAGGGAAATTGTTAGAAACGTAAATTCTCAGGCTTCACTCCAGATCTACTGAATTGAAACTCCCAGGGGTAGGGCCTAGCACCCTGTGCTTTATGAAACCTTCCAGGTGATTCTGATGCATACTCACTTGGAGGACCGCTTGTGTAATTTCCACTCTGCTCCCCAGCAGCTCCCTCCTTGGACTTTTCCTTCCTTGAGTGTGTCCACACACCAGCCCCATAGAGTCACATAACCCAGCACTCAATTTCTAGTTAAAATCTCTTCTTTGGCCATCCCTGGTGTGATTTCTAGTAAAATTAAGTACAGTATTAGATGTCTCATAAGTACTTATCATTAATTTCAATTTATTCCACTCATCTAAGCACATGTTGAGTAACCGGTGTGTATATGCTTGACTCCTTGGGTGGGTAGGAGGTACAAAAGGGAATGAATATGTTACTTGCCCTCAAGGAGCAAACATCCACTATGCTCGGCTCCATTGAATTGAGAATACTCTCAAACTTCATGTTCTACTGCCTTGTTTTACTAATCCATGTCTTTTGCATGACTTATATTAACAATGAATATAACTGATAGCAACAAGAAAACACTGCATTGTCCACTCTTTTGAGAATAAATCTCTATTCTGACTCTGATTTTACCATTATTCAGATTAGCATATTATTTTCTCCATGTTAAAGAGTGTGAAATGCATAAAATGTTCATGTATATCTGAGCAGGGAAAGGAGAAAAAAAGATATTTTAAGTACAAAGTTCTTGAAATAAAAGTAGGACAGGATATAAATTTTAAAATGGTTCACTTCAAACAAGATGCAAAGTAATTCATGAGGGAGAGACTCCAAGACACAAAGTAATACAAGATGGAAACCCATGTTTAAAAAGTACATTTTTATAATAAGATATTGAAATGGGAACAGTTAAAAACCATGTCCTTCAGCTCCATTTCCCCATCCTTCCTCCCCCAGCTTTCTTAGGAAAGGTAGATTTCTTAAGAAACAAGGACCCTCAATTGGGCCACAGAGAACCATGTTCCAACATGGCAAAAGGTGGTGCTTGGTACTCTTCTCTTCCTGTCTCACTTCTTCAAGAATGAAAAGGAAAATTTTTGGAGGGATGACAAGGGAATTGAAAAGTCTCTTTTCCCCTTTGTTATTACATTTGTGACTGGCAAGATTTGAAGCAACAGAGTTGAAGGTTGGATGTAATTTCTGCCTACATTTTGGGACTGAAAGAGTCTGAGCTAGACCCAGGTCAAAGGAAAGAAGGAACTGACTGCTTGGGGTAGGACTAGTATCTAAACTGGAAATTCAAAATTCAAATAACTACAGGGGGGCATAACTTTAACATATACCCATGAAACTGATTAAGTGCTCAATTGCTTGTGCAGCAACCAAGCAGAACACCTTTCTAGTTTCACTGCCTTTAAAACAATATTTTGTGAGCATAACAAGATGTCATGACAAAGTGTGAGGGCCACATGATGCATTGCTTGATCTAGACCTAATAGTGGAGAGGTAAAGGGAGCATGTGGTTTTCTCCTCCGTCATCTACGCTATCTCACTAGGGAAGACAAGAATAGAAGAATTTAGGGAGAAGGTCTGTTAATAAAAACGTTGTATATATACTTGGTTTGCTTGTACCTTGTATTGGTTCTCTCAGAATTTAGGATGACAATATGTGGCTAGATAGGTACAGATGCAAGTGAGTAGAATGAATGCCTGCCCTATGGCTGCTATAGCTCCTTAAATATTCACTTGTTATATTTTTGTTCCTAAACATGCAGCATAATTAAGTTTGGTAGATATGAAGCCAATGAAAAAGTGGTCAACATTTCAAACTGACTCTACATAGCATCAAAGCCCAAAGAACAAAAGATAAAGCTAGATAGACATTAATTTAATCTAAATATGAGAAGCTGAAAATCTAAGCCTCGATAATAACCATCATAACATAGCAACCGTTTTCCAATTCATGAAACACATGCTAGTCAAGGGCATCAGCATTTCTCACTTGGACTGGGACAAGAGCCCCCTAAATACTCTCTCCCATCCACTACAGTTTGCTTTCAATGTGTTTTCCAGGTTGCAGGCAGAATGACAAATTTAAAAGGCAAATCTGATCCTGTCAGTCTATAGCTTAAACTCTTAAATAGTTTTAGATTACCTTAGGATAAAGTTCAAAATCCTCAAAATGGCTTATCGAGTCCTTAACAATCTACTTTGGCTAACCTCTTCGTCTTCATTTTGAGCCACTGGCCTTGTCAGTATTCCAGCTCTAATAATCTTTCAGTTTCTCCAACCTGCCTCTAAGCCTGTTGATACGCTGTTCCTTTTGATCTACTTTTTAATTTCTTTTCCCATAGCACTTAACACCTTCTAAATCCATATTATTTATTTCTGTATTTCTATGTTTATTACTTATTGTTTTCATCCCCTGCTAAAAGATACAAAGGCAGAGATCTTTGTTTTCTTTACTGATGATCCAAGGGTCTAGAACAAACAGTGCCTTATATATAAGGTGCCTTTATTGAGCACCATGCTCAATAAATATTTGTTTGACGAATGAATAAAACCCTTCTATTTCAATACTTTAATTACTTTATCAGTGTCTGTTTTCTCTGCTAGACTGAAAGCTCTATGAAGCAGAAATCATGTTCATCTCATTCACCACTCTATCTATCCTGACTAACAAAATATATGGCATATCTGATTAAATGAGAATCAAAATGAGAGATAAAATTGACCTCAAAATGTCATACAATTTTTCTGCTTGCAAGCAACCCAAAAGCCAATTCCAGCTAACTTAAGCACAAAGACATCTGTTGGAAAAATACTGAACTAGTTCATGCAATCTAAGACAGAGCTGAAATCCAAAATTGAGGAAATGCAGGAATAAGAACAGCTTCTAGGATTACGGCTGCAGAAATTCCTTGGTCTTTTCTCTAGAGCACCACTGTTACCAGGTTTAAGTCCAGCAACTTCTCTCTACATCTCGCAGTTCAAGTTTAATGTTCCAAGGCGTGAGCAACTTTTCGGCCCATCTTGGGTCAGATGCCAGCCCCTTGGTCATTCAACTATATGGCCAGTAGCAGGAAGCCACCCATTTACGTACTACTCCAGAGGATCTCACTCAGAGGCTTCAATAAGTTCAACTGCATTTCAAAGCCAGTATTCTCCCCTGGTCTAACACCGATTCATCTTTTTTTTTCTTTTATTAATATAGTCCATGAATTCACCACTTGGCCAACTTCTCAGCTTGGGATTCCTCTTTCCCTGAACCCACATGCCCTTTGTATGGTCAAATTTAGTTAAGAACTACTTTATTTTAAAACTCCAATAAACCTCTTGGGATCTTGGATATCTGTTATTCTTGATTAACATATACTATTTACGTATTTCATATTTGTATTCGATGTAACCATTGCTCCGAGGCCTCTGAGCGCATTTAATGAAAAAATAGTAGAAAAGTATAAATGTTT